ATGAGTGTTTAGTAGAGAACTTGCTGCGTGTGTTAGGGCTTCCATAGAGTCAAAATAGATATGAACTTTGTCTATCTTCTTCTCCCAACAAATATTTAGTCCTTTCAATATTCCTAAAAGCTCAGCTCCTATACACAGATGGTAACCAAAATGCTTGGAGAATCCTTTAATTCAATTCTCATGTTCATCTCTTATGAGTCCACCGCAAGAAGTAAGACCTTGATTATTAACTAAGCCATCAATATCAAGAATAACCCATCCATCTTTAGGGTATAACTATTTAGCGTTTGTTCTATCACCTTGCTGGTTCAAAAAATTGATTTTAGATTGAAGACATAAATCATTGATGATATCCTAGATGTTGGTAAAAGCGATGTTTCTCTCAAGATTATCTTCTGCAAAGTAAATGATTTTACATCTATCTCCCTAGATATTCCAACAAACATGAGCGAATAATTTCTATCATAGAATCTTTCTCAAACAAGCATTGCCCGCATCATGGTTAGCATTCCAAAATATCCAGTCCCATAGAGGAAGAGAAAAGAAAGTGTTAAGTTTAAATTGTTTAACAAGTTTTATCCAAACCTTTTTAAAAGTCTTGCAATCTCTTAGGATATGACCAATTGAATCTAAAGGGTTGCAACCAAATGGGCATGGCCTAGGAAAGGTATAGCCATCATTGGAGTGGATAAACTTGGGTTGAAGACGATCGCAGGCTGCTTTCCAAAGAAAGGTCTTGATCTTCTCATACATTGGCCATTTCTAGATTTTCAACCAAATCTTAGAGTTAAGATTGCCATAGTGATTATCGATAGCCTTAGAAGTAGATTTGATGGTAAAGCTGCCATCATTAAAAGGTCTCCAACAAATAGCATCATTGTCAGCATTGGCGTTTGGAGGCTGGACAACAATGATATGTTTAATGACATCTTGGTGGAGATATCTGCTTAATTAATCAACATTCCATCTTTCTGAGGCAGGACAGAAATCAGAGACTTTAGACTGTAAAATCAAGTCTGCTTTAAGAGATGCATAATTAACAAGGGATTCAGGAAGGGAGCACCATTTGTCATACCAAAAAAATATGTGATCCCCTTTCATAAATATTCCCTATAATTTTTTAAATAAAATCAATATGGTGTCACTTTTTGCATTTTTTTAAATATAATATATATAACTATACACAATCATCATGTAATGATCTTTTTCTAAGTTATAAATTTTTTTTATAAAAATATACAAATTTATTTATATTTTTACCAAAAACAAAAATTAGCCCACCGTAGCCTCAACGATTATTGCTTCCTTGAATATACCTTGCTGATAATAGAGATTAATCTCCTTTATAATAGTGAAGATAAATCGTTGAACATCTAACAAGATTGATATATATAAATATTGGGATTCAAACCTTTAATCATTTATGTAAATGATGAAATCCCAAACTATACATGAGTCATGTCTGTCTAAGTTGATATAGATACCACCATCCTAAAACTTCTTTTTTCTATAATTCAAAACTTGGCATTGAATTTTGGTTTACAATAATTTCATAGTTAAGAAGCACCTTGTAATTACATACCCAAGTGATACATACTATGTCTATATGATACGTAACATCATCAATGTTTCAATATATTTCCAAAAACCAATGTTGATTTCGAAAATAATTTGAAAAATTAGTTACATGGAATGAATAATATGATTTATGAGTGTTTTTTATATTATATGTAGATATATAGATTATATAAGAGCATACAGTACTATTTATAATTTGTGGAAAAAATATTTCAAATTTTGTAAAAATAAATAAGATCTGTTTTAATTTTTAAAAAATTAATACAAGAGAATAGAATGTGGACGGAGCAGGGGTGATGGCAATTGTATGAGTGGGGGGTGGCGGTAATGTTTGATGTGTTGGCAAGCCAACGGGGGATGAAAATGAATATGGCATTATTTTTAATTTTAAATAGTTGACATTTATTATTTTTAATTTTTTACTTCAAATAAATTACAATTAAAGTAATCTCAATCTTTTGAATGTTAATTTTATAAAAAAAATATTGTTTTGATTAAAAATGAGAGATCCTTGACCAAAGTACATTTCAATCTCCGTTAAAATACGTGTATTTAAGGAGCCAACAGTCTTGTGATATAATGACGTGAAATTCTTTATTGGTAATAGGTGTAGGTTCAATATTGGCAGCTCCAAGCATTTAGCTTTCACTAGTAATAAAAATTACCCATGTTTAAGGATAATTACACAACCTTAACATTTTTCTTAAAAGACTTTTAAGGGATGACACTTATCAATTTAATCACCATTAGATCCTAAAAAATTTTTTTAAATAATTGATTGTATACATTTACTTAGATGGTTTCAAATGATTGTATTTAAATTTTTCAAGAGATTAGTTTCACAGCTACAATAAAAATTGATCATAGTTAAAAATTAGTAGTGACCTATGAAATTCAAATACCTAATTTGCAAGTAATACTCATATTTACAACTATTTAAATATATATTTTCAACTTATTTTTTAACAAATTCTTTAAGAACTTAACCATCAGTGAATTGGTCTTTTGAAACTGAAGTTTCATTCTCCTTTTTTATTATTCATATATAATAAATAATGCAAGTCCTTGTTTACACTCCATAAATAATAATAGATGATATATTTTCATTTGTTTTTCTCTATTCTTTACTACACATAATGAGAAAGAAATAAAGAGTGGTGTGGGTTTATAAAGTCCTCCTGTTGGGCCCTTTTTTAAAGTCTGTACTCCTTTCGATCTTATTTATAAATTATTTTTATCAACTTCATTAATACCAATACAATAAAAGTACAAGGAATAAAAATAAATAAAATTTAAACATGCCTCTATATAATAAATTTAAAAAATAATGTCCTATTATTTTTTTTATAAAGGATAATTTTAAAAATATTTTTTAAATATTATTTAAAAAGACATAACATGATTTATAAATAAAATTAAATAAATTTTTTAAAATGTGATTTATAAATGAGACCGAAAATAGCACACATCACTCTCCCCAATTGAACCATAGTCAGGTGAATCACGAGGGACACGCGATGCGGCTCTCAATTGTATATGTCAAGTCAATTTCTTTCAAGTTGTTGCATCATTAAATAAAAGGTCCCAGAGATGATGGTCCTGCTTCTTGTGTTTTCGTATCATATTAGATTATGGGAAGAAAAAAGCTGATATGAAAATGTACAAACTGGGAAAGACAGACAAGACGGATCATCAATCATTTATGAATGGCAGCAAAATCAATCATACCCAAGTTATTATTTTCTTCACCATAAAATATTCAAGAAATCCATTAATATAAATTATTTTAACATTTTTAATGTTCTGCTTTTTTTTCAGAGAAATATTACATTGAAGTGGTATAAAAAAATCATAGAAGAAAATGCAGACTTTACTATTTATTATTTTATTCTTGAAACAAAAAAAGGGTTCCCAAAGAAGCATATCAAATACCATTAACAGATAAAAGAAAAAGTGTTAGGAAAACGGCATACAAACTCTGGGCTTTAAGTTCCGTGCAATGATGGTCGTAAGAACCCCACTACCATTCATACCATTGACTTGGTTACAATGAGATGCCTCTCAAGAATGTCCACTTTCCATTTTTGTACTGTTTCCCTGCCACAAAAATAGGTGTCTTGGCCAAAATTCCCCACCGCAAGATTGAAAGTAGCATATCTGTAGATAAATAAGATTTAAAAAAAAATTGAAAGAAAAACTACAGAAATTGGTTTGATTTCACTCTTGCGCATACACTAACCACTTGATAATATATCATATAAATGTTGGACAAATTAATGCAGATTAAAATTTATTAAACTGAAAACCAAACTCCATATCTAATCGGAGAATTTTGCAACCCAAACCAAGCAACTAACTTGTGAATTTACCCAAACTTTTCCTCCCAATGATATTATCTCGTAACTTCTATGACCCAACATCTTTCTTTTTCATTAGTCTTTTTTTTTTTTTTACCAACATTTTCTATTCTCTCCTTTTAAATGAATCTCACTTTTTAATAAATTAGTTTTTTTTGTCAGCAATAAATTAGTTTATTATCTTCTAATACTATCTTTTCATATTTACTTTTATTTAATTGAGTGTGTCACTTAAAAAAAATATAAACTAATTTTTTTTTGCCAAAACTAATTTATTTATTATGAATATCTTTTTAAAAAAAATGCATTAATTATACTTGGAACAATAGAAATGTCCTATATTTAATAATATTCAACCTATCAAAAAATACTTTACAGCTTTTAAAATGGAGAAAGTATTAATCCTACTCCTCTCTTAACCAGGGGGCTCAAATATGAGATCTCGGCAGACATGATAATTTACATTAAATAAATTTACGCTGCTACTTGAATTATACTCCCTCCATATGTTATGAGACAACCACCTAATTTATACTACAAATCAATAAAACAGTTATAACTAATTTGTCTTAATTTTTTTTCCCCAACTTTCCGCTTCGAGTTCGAGTCTTCTAGCCTCAATTAATGCACACCATTCCCCTAACTCTACTCCAAAATTGGCCAAGCTCATTGATTAAAGATATTTTAGGAAAAATTATTAATTACTTCTAAAAGTTTGTAAATTATCTTACATATAATAACACCAGACGCCAAAATTTTGCCTTCTAGTTAGCAAGAGGGAGTGCAATTTCCTCCAATACGAATCTACCCCCAAAAAAATTGAGGCAATCAATTCTTTTTAATTACAAGGGCAGGCACAAATGATTGAACCTGCAACCCTCCGCTTACAGGCAAATTTGCATGTCACTAGGCTACAAGTCCATTAACAAAGGCAGTCAATTTAAAAGAGAGGTAGGTCACATACATTCCCAGATTCCCTCCAGCTAAGGATCCAGTTAGTCAGCACCAAGAAATACAGACATCTTGATTTTGAAATTTTACAAACATTAACAAGCAACTTGTTAGTTTTCATAGCAAGTTTTCTCGATTTTCATTAACATGCCAAGTGACATGAAGGATCCTGCTAACATCCATCAGGAAACTCGACCACAAGAAACAGCAAACATGCTCGATAAAAATGGCAGAGCCAAGGACATTTACAGTGACTAAATTCGCAGTTCCGGGTAAAAACTACTAAGTCAAAAGCCCACGGTTATTTGAAAATGAAAATAGCATTTCATTAACATGTTACCCCACCTAAAACAGTCAATCCTTCAATTTCTTACTGCTACTGGGAGAGTTTTGCTCAGTAAGCATTTTTAAAACGTTCACCAGTGCTCGCAAACGGTCCCACATGTTAAGACCATAAAGTGCTTCAACAAGGGACTCTTGAAATTCAAATCCATTCTCTGCAACGGGGTACTGTGGAAAAGAGAGACCACCTCAGTTAGTATTTGAGGTGAGAAAAGGACTTGTTCTAATAAAATGTTTTCCAGACTGACCTGGATAGGCTTGGGTATCTTGGTTTTGATAAATGGCCACCATCGATCCTCCACAACTGATTTTACAAGGCAGCAAGCTCGCAATCCCTCCACACCAGCAAATCTTCCAAATCCGCTATGTTTCACACCTCCAAATGGCAGGGACTAGGAAATCGAAATGCATCATTAATTCAGCGGAAATTCATGTAGATAAACTGGCTGTGTTAGGAGCCTCTCCTGGCAGTATAATTACAATAATGACAACGACAATGCTAATTCTCTTACACAAGTATATATTTTTAGTCTTCAAAAATTGACAATAGGATATGCCAAATGTTGAGTTTATTTTCTAGATTTTTTTTCTTTTCATGGTCAAGGGCTCAAGGCGATGTTACAGCAATTTGATAAGAGTACAAGTTTAACCTACATACTTTTCATGCACCAACTTTCTAATCGGGATGCTCAAATAATATGCAGCTTCTTTTTCCATTTTCCTAAAAAGAATTAGTCCAATAGTTTCTCTATCTCTCCCGGTTCTACTTAATGCTTCAGTTACATTATATAAATAACTTTCAAGTTACTATTCTTCCAAATACTCTGCCTTGTCCAGGAATTCAACATCAGTCAGCTCATTTGTTACATGTAACAAAGTAAACACTTTGTTCACTAGTATCTGGGTATTAATTCAGCCAAAAGAATAAAGGAAAGAAAAACAAACATTCTATCTTAGCTACTAATCCTTCTCCCAGTAAGGCAGAAGAATGGAAATTAAACATTATATAAAATTTACCTGACACATGTATGTTGCAGCAAAATCGTTAACTGCAGCCACTCCACAATGTATCTGCGAAGCTATCTCTCTAGCCCGGGCCTGACTGCCTGAGAAAACAGCACAGCCAAGCCCATATTTTGAATCATTTGCGAGCTTGACAGCCTCCTCATCAGAGCTAAATTTCATTATTGGCATGATTGGTCCAAATGCCTAAATGTCATTCATATGCACAGATGAATCAAGTAAGCATTTGCCAGAACTTAAGATAAATAAGGAAATCCGAATCTATAGTTGTAATATATATATATATATATGACTTGATAATGGTAACCAAACTTTCAGGATTTAAATGGTTTTAGTCTACAAATGACCAGTAAGGGTGTCAATAAATATAGCACTTAACAAACAGGAATAAAAATAATAAAAGATGGCAAAAAAGCAAAAGAAGAGATGACAATGAGTTTTGCTAGTTGATACCTCTTCTTGCATCAATCTCATTGAATGATTCACATTCACAATCACAGTCGGAGGGAAAAACTGATCAACTGCATCTTCACCAATATGGCCAAAACTTCCTCGGGCAACAATTTCAGCTCCTTTGTCTTGAGCATCATTAACAAGGGTTTCAAGCCTTTCAGAATGCTCATGCATGCATAGAGCTCCCATATCATACTTTCCAGCAAGCGGTGGCCCCTGCAAGATATTGACCAACAAATTGAATTTTCAGATATTTGGAGAGCAATCACATTTTACTCCAGACTCAAGGTAGGGTATATAAACTTCAAATTAATAATACCAATCACACAAATCAGAAGTCATCCAAAGCAACTAAACGATTGAAAAATTGAGAAAAAAGAAAATAGAAGAACAAAAGATGCAGTCATGCAGAAGTACAACATAAAAAGAGGATGATGTAACATATCCTGAGTCACATGTATGTTTTACTGAATTTGATAGCAAACGAGATGTAAAAACAGTCTGAAAAGTGAAAACCCGGTGAGAATCAAGTGCAAACACAAGTGATTGATGTATCAGAAGATCACATCACATATTTTACCACTAAAGTGTCTTTAGAAACACTTACAGATGCAACGGACTTTATGATTTTGGACACTTTACTGACAAAAGATGAGTAGACATCCCTGTGGACATAAAATCGCTCAGCCCCAGCACAATTTTGTCCGCTTGACTGCAGGACAGCTCTGACAGCAATTTGTGCAACCTATATTCAGCAGATCAATCACATGTTAAAATCATGGCATTCAAAAATAAAGATCAGGATAAGCAATTCAAAAATAATTTCCCAAATGAAGGGTCAACAGTGATGTCTAAGCCTTCAGGGAATCAGAAGGTGTGAGAAGATTCATACATGGTCCACATCTACATCTTCACACACAATAAATGCATCTTTTCCACCAAGCTCTAGAGTTACTGGTATAAGTGTGTCGGCAGCATTTCTCATTATCTGCACAAGTGTATGTAGCACGTAAATAGAAAGATTACTTAGAAGCTAGGAGAGCAGACACCACCTTAAAATGAATGAATGATATTTCAAGAATAAGGGAATTCTCAGATGAATCCTCAAGAGCAGATTTAGCTGAGAAACATCATCCTAGATCAGAGGTATAATACAGCTCAAGGTTGAGAAGAATTAACCTCATCAGAATCTCCGTATCACATATACACCATACTTAATATCAGAAACTATTCTCCCAGGATTGAAAAGAATTATGGAAGGTAAGATTCAAAACAGGAAAGAGACAGGTGAATCCATCCATTGGCCAGAGTAATCATACCATCTTACCAACACCAGGTGATCCGACAAATATAACTTTATCCACAGATGAGACCAATGCTTCTCCCGTTTCTGCAAACCTGGTAAGGAATGTCTGATAGATGCCAAAGAAACAAAAATACCACAGAATAAAGGAAAAAGGGGCAGTAATAAGGCTTTACCCTGTTATAACCTCAACAAGATCCTCTGGAGCACCTATGGCAGCAAGGGCTGATTGGATGATTCGGAAATAAAAGCATCCAGACCAACTTGCATGTTCTGAAATCTACAATCAGAAGAACATGATTTCCTGTCAATGCAAGAAACCGAAACATAGAAGTCATAGTATACAAGTAGGAATTCCAGCTTTCTAAGAGATTCAATTATTTATTTTCACTTTTTCACCTTGTCATGAAATAAAATAACCCCTATATCAAACTATCAACAACATCGTAGGTAGAATATTAGTTTGTGATAGGATAAACCTAATCCCCGTAATACTACCAAAATTGATAATAAATTATTAAAAAGACAGAATACAGCCATGGAGAAAATTTTCGGATAAGCAAGTAGTTCAAAATAGGATACCTTAATCACAATGCCATTTCCAGAAAAGAGTGCTGCCAGCATAGGATTGAAAATGTTGTGAAAAGGATAGTTCCATGAAACAATGGCACCAATAACACCAAGGGGGTGAAATTCAACTCTAGCTCTTTTATGAAGCATTGACCATCCAGAAGATCTGCAAAATTAATATTAATAGTAATACAAAGAAATACATGGAATTTAACTCAATCTGGAATTTTCCATTGGAAACATTAATATTAAAACACACACACACATGTACATACATTCAAATAAGAAACCACTTTTTTTTTTTTTATGTATGATAGGAAACAAATAAGCATAACTTATAAGGCTCTTGTTATTTCCAAGTAACAGGCATACAGAAAGAAAAGTAAAACCAATATAAAGGCAGATCATCCACCATGACCAAAGCCAATTTATGCAAAGGCAAAAGTCAACTGTGGTATAGTCTTAACAAGACAGAAATCAAATAGAAATTAGAAAGTACAAAATAAAATTATGAAAGCACATACCGGTATTCAGGTTTTAGCCACTTCTCACCCTCGGACAGTAGCCAATTGATCTTCTCACATGTTGTCATTATTTCTCCTAAAGAAGCATCGACCATTGTCTTTCCAGTATCACGTGAAGATATTCTAACAAAAAATAGAGTTAAAATATGTCCAATTCATTATCAAAAGAAATCCATAATTTACAAATTTTTAGACCAAATGATTTCTTTTTTATAAGAAAAGGGCATTTATTATGCGTGTGCATGTTTTCCAAAATATCACAACCAACATTGTAGTTCTCTATGTTCTCTAAGAATAATATATTTTAACATTAAGACCAGCTTTGTTTCGGTAATGTTTCTGCAGGACTTTTCACTAAATCCTCTCCAGGCACTGAAAAATTAAAATTCTCTTTCTGCAACCACAGATAAAAAAGCTCTTACTCGCATATAAGTGCTTGATGTCTGATTATATACTGCAAGAGTATACGCAAAAACTGACGTCTTTGCTTGAAGCTGGTTTTTGCCCACATTTTCTGTGCCTTCCTCACCTTGGACACCTGCTCCTTGACCTTTCCATGCATGCAAAATAATCTGAGTAAATTTCTTTGAATGCTTGTATAAATTTATTCAAAAATAACAAAATAGTTTAAGATGATGGTTCACAACAACTGGATCTAGTTGTACTAATCAATATTTCTTCTCACTGTCACTTTGTCTGAATTGTCATTTGTCATTGTTGTTACTATATGGCAGGATACAAGAGGATGGATTGGCAGCAATTAGAAATATAATTTGGTCTATACAATCAGATAATTTTCATATCAAAAGCATATGATGCATTTCATCAACAACAGAAATCAATGGGAACCCAGAATAAGGTCAACTTATGGAACAGAGACTAAATTCTAGTTGTATGAACAATAAACATGTAAAATATAGGAATTTTATTGAATTTGAACTTCAACAAAGGCAAGAATGCAAAGATATCTAAATGAAAAAGTTATGACACAGATTTAGCTAGAAACTATGACAAGTCATCTTTCCTTCAGCACAGCTAACGTACTTCTTATGTAACTAGTTTATCAACGATGATGAACTTATACATTCTAAGTCACTGGTATCAATGTTTAGTTATATTAACATAGAAAACGTACTTATTTCTTAACATCAAACTTCAATAAAAACGACTAAATATAGAAATTGCATCGTGAAATATTGCCTACTGCTTGGAGTAATAAACACTGCGTGAAAACGAAAGAGAAAGACACTTCATGTTATTAATAAGCAATTAAGCATTAGTCCGTTGCTAAAATACGTTGGTTCACTAACCTCAGTAGGTGTCAGCGCTGGAACATATCCTAAGTATTTCATTGTAGCAGGTTCATAGCATTGGACTTTCCTGCCTGATTGCTGTGCTTGTCCCCTCGGAGGTACCTGAACAAGACAAGTCAGAATCTCCATATTAGAGCATCTTCAACAAATCTCAAGTCATAATGTCCAGTGTTATATCGAGCACAAGTTAGTTCTCAGTATGCACTTATTTGACCAAACTTATACAGTTATACTGATCACATAACATCCACTTACCATAAAACTCAACTCCAATTCATTACAGGAAAGCAGATCAAGCAAAATGCAGATACAGAGCGAAAGATCAATGAAGACGGTTATCAAGTAAAAAATAAGACTCACATATATAAAGCTGTTCTCCTGCGCCTGATTTCCATCATCCAACACTGTCATCACCAAAATTACATTACAACACATCGCACAGGTGTGACCAGAGAGAGAGTGAAAGTGAAAGTGAAAGTACCATCGGAAGCATCGACGTCAATGGAAGGAACTTTGGGAGGAATGAGCATGAAGAGGAACCTGCAGATGGCATAAGCGAATGCCAAAACAAGAACGGACCACCACAATGCCATCGGGAATTCGACGATTCAAGAGCGTCGCTGTGACAAGAAAACTACCTCGCTAGGGTTTCCGATGGTGGAACTGGAGGCACATAAAGCTCCAAGGAGAGTATAAATTCAGGACAGTGGCCGAAGCCACTCAAGGAATCTGCGAAAGCTTTGAGATGACGATGGAAAAATAAGAAACGAAACAGAAGTAGAAATTATTGCTACTTGGGATCGCATACGAAAACAGAACTTCAAGTACAGCAACAAAATCAGATTCGATTTGTGAAGCAGAAATGAGATTCTTTAGAGAAGAACTTTTTTTTTTTTTTTTTTTGGGGGGATGTGGGGGATCAAGAAGAAATGACTCAACATTTTTTTTTTAACAAGTGTTTTGAAAAACAGCACTCAAACATTTCTCACAATATTTTTTTTTTCTTTAACTCAGGATGGCAACCTTCAAGCCTTAAACCTTGAAAAGTTACATAATTATAAAAGTAGTACTTGAAGTTAAATCCTCAGCAAAATAATTTTTTCAACGAACTCTTGTATTTAAAGATCCACAAGAAAATACTAATTGATAGATTCAAATTTATTGGCATTGTAAGATGAATGGGTTCTCAGATACAAACCAAGTTTTTACTAAGATAATGAATTAAATAACATGAATAATTTAATCATTAGACTATTTTATTATTGATAATAACACCCATTTAGAAAATCACAACAACAATGAAAATTTTGTTTATACTACATAGGAATATCAATATTTATAGTGAGTGACTGGCGCCCTAATGCCTATATTCCTATTTAAATTAACTATTCTGATTCCAACAATTGATTGAGGCTTGTTATTTTGTTGCCTGAACAAACCAACATGCATTGTCTACTTCTATCTATAAGTAAGACAATTTGTTGAGGTATTGAATTTGAAAGAATTGAGAATAGGATTGAAGGTGAAAACAAGTTTTAAATTTATGTTTGGTATGTTATGAGATTGAAAAAAAATAAGTGCTTGTGTGCAATTTTATTAGTGTTTTTCTTCATCTTCCTCCTTTCCTTCTCTCATATTTTTTTCTTCTTCACTTTCTTTCTTTACCCAATGAATCCAAGCCGAAAATGATGTTAGCACATGAGTCCAACCGTGGTGATGACTGATGAGGTCGTAAGTGGCAACAATAATGATATTGATGTAGGAGTACAACCATAATGATGATTGAGAACCCAAAAAATTAGACCCAAAAGCAATAAGTGAAGGAAAGGAGTCAATGAAGAACCAGAAACTTAAATCTAAAAGAGAGGATGATGAACATCAGAATCAAAAGCAGATTTGACCACGACACAGATGACAGTTTTAACCACAATGACAATGGGATCCATCTTGGGTGTTGCAGGATTGTCGACTTTGAACAGGGGCATTTTGGTCTCTAAAAAATCAATCATAGGATTGTTTTTGCAATACCAAGGGGTGGTATTGTGTAATACCACTTAACATGGGATTGACTTCACCATGATCTATACCAAATATGATAAGTTAGGTACACTCAATTACAATTTCAGTCCCATTTTCCAATGCTTTCTACCAAACAAAGCCTATATATATTACCAGAAACATGTACAATCTATAAGTAACAAGCAATATGAAATATATCATATACATATATATAATGTAATGTAAGGTAAAAACATATCTATCTTCTATATTACCCATAAAACACACTATTTATAAGTAACAAACAACATGAGTGATTTCCTAATTTATATATCTATATAATGTAAGAAAAAAAAATATCTATCTAATTTAAAATTAAGACTTATTTTAAAAAATAAGAATAAAGTGATTTACACTTTCACAATCCACAAGTGTTACAATAAAATCAAAACAAAAGTCTTTCCATATTCCCACGTAAAAGCATGAATGTAACTCTATTTCTCATGTTTACACATAAGATGCATGGAAACAAGTTCAAAATGAGTCATATTATTAAAAATTTATGAATGATTTCCTGTAATTTTTCATATTTTAAATTTTAAACTATTTTTAATATCGATAGAAAAAACATACTCCATTGATCCTTAATATCAAGCAAAAATTTAAAAAAAATCTTAATATAGGGAAAAGTGAGAATAATTCATGCACTTGTTTTAATGTTATACCATATTTGTTTATTATTATTTGAGTTTTTAAACAACAACTTACTTGATTAATATTTGTAAAAAAAGAGAAAATTGAAGAGTCACTTTTTTAACAATTTTAAGGACATAATTATATCTTTAATAAGCACTAAAATTAGTTAATTCTGACGTATATTAAGGAGGAGAGGGGGTAATAATATAAGATAATAGGAAAATAATAAAATTTATAAAAAAATTAACATTAACAATAATTAATAATTATCCCCCCACCCCTGCAAGGCGCTAGTTTGTTTTCATTGCTTCGTCTGAAAAAAAAGACAGCAATATTAATTATTGATAATATTAATAATTAATAAAATGATGTGCTTTTCATTTTAGTCACAACAGTGCGCGCGCTCGTCGCTGTGGTCTTCGACTCTGTTCTTCTGCCTCAAATTTTGGATGCTTGTCTTCTCCACTAACTTGAAATTGAAGGACCGAATAATCGAAACGATTGCTAATACAGTAGCGAAGCAGCGGTCTCTCTCATAACGCTAGGCTCTATCGATCTTCATTCATGGATAAAGCTCTGGAACCTTCTGGAAGAAGAGTGGGTGTGGCTGTGGATTTCTCAGCGTGAAGCGATCTGGTACTCAAATGGGCAGTGGATAACGCCGTTCGCGACGGAGATACCCTCATCCTCGTCGTCAGTCTTCCTGAACAGTTCTATGAGGGCGGCGAGATGCAGCTTTGGGAAACTTCTGGATCTCGTAATTAATCTCTCTCTTTCTCTGTTACTGTTTGTTTCTTGGGAAAATCTTCATGGCCGTGCTTGGGCAAGAAAACAGACATCTGCACAAATTTGAAACTCTGATCGAGAAGATTTATTGTCCAGGAATTTGTTTGTAAATTACTCAAAATCGAGGAAATTTTTATGCAATTTAGCAAAACATTATAGTTACATGGGAGTTAAAGGTCTCCTTTGAAGATGGAAATTTGTGACATGGATTAAGGCTTTCACTGTAGTAATTAATTGATGACAGAATTTTACCACAGTGCATAGAATTACCCTAGAACATAATGAAAGGGAACAATATCATTCCAGGACCAATATTTTAATCCGATCTTGTTTTTAGTTCTTATACTTTATTTTCATGAATTGTCATCCTTTTGTTTGTTTTGTCTATAACATTACCTTTATTTTGAAAAATATTTAGAATAACCATGAATTGGTCTAAACAGTAGTAATTTTACTGAGGTCTAATGTTCTAATGCTCCTATGATGCCCTACTTACGCCCGTGCAGTCATTTTGAGGAAAATGAGATTCCTTTTCTTATACTCCTTTCATTTAAAAATGTGAGATATTTTTTAGAATTTAAATATTAAAAAATATAAGATACTTTTAATCTTTTAAGATGTAATTATTATTTTTTTTAAAGTACTCATATTGTTTATTTATTATATAGTGTTTAATAAGGATAAGTATAAAAAGATGGGATTAGTTTAAAAGTAAGTAACTACTTGGGTGAGATTCAGTTAAAAATTCCTTACATTTTTAAATGAATGGAGTAATAATTAGTGTCTATAATTTCATCATTTTTTACTTTTAGTTTATATAATTTTTTCAGTATTTGTTTGTTATTTATGTTCCATAATTTCAGTGTTTTTAGTCTCTTCTCCGTTTTTTTTTAAAATCAGATCAAATTTTTAATCTGACTGGAGTCAATGCATGCTTTTTTTTTCTTCTAATTATCTTGTTAATTTAACGATTCTAAGTTCACCACAACAGAATTAACACGGTTTTAACCATCTTATGATCTTTTTGAGTATTTTTCAAAATACAGGACTAGCATTCCAAATAGAACCAATAGAAGGGATGAAAAATTAAAAAAATAAATTCTATATGTACAGACTAAAAGTAAAACACCATTAAAGTATAAGGACTCGAAATGGCATTTTTTTTAATAAAAATAATGAAATGCCAGCTTGGCATGAGGTGATGAAGCCAAAATTATTATTGTTGTTCTGTATTTAGCTACCATAGTTTAGGGGTTTTCTTACTTCTAAAGATGTAAAATATGCAGCTCTGATACATGCAAGTCAGTTTGGTGATCCTTTGGTAATGAAAAAATATGGAGTGAAACCTGAAGATGCAACCCTGGATATTGTCAAAATTGCAGAAAACCAGAAACCAGAGGTACCATGTTCTTCTTTATTTTTTTTTTCCCACCATTGTTTTCCTTACTTGAAGCTGACGTGGTAGAATGTGACTAGAGATTCAACATTCTTGTAAGATAGATATTGAGCTTGAGCTTTATGGGGGAAAAAACAACCTAATGAAGCAATGTTGGAATCTATATTAAAAAAAAAATTAAAAGTGCTTGCATGTATTGTCTGATCATATCTCAAATAAAATTAGTTTCAATAGGATGAAAATGTACATAATCAAACAAGCGATTAGATAAATCTAGGGTCCAGATTGTTGTACAAACTCAAGCTGAAAATGTTTACTATTTTCGAATCTCTGGACTGCTCGAGTAATATATACTATCCTAGTCACTAATTATAAGACCTAAATTTTAAGGTTATGGTGTCCCTAATTGTAAACACCATTATAAAGTATCAAGAGTAATTAAAATACTTCCTTCAAATACCTCTTATGAATGATGACGTTTAATTGAAGTTGAAAAAATGATTGTATAAGGTCAAAACTGAAAAAACGAAACAAATATATATATATATATATATATATTAGGGCGAACACGTTCCAGGTTAGCGAGTGACGTCATCCTTGCTTAGTACGTGCCCGATATGCAGTTTTCTTTTGGGCTAGCGTAATGCCTGAATAGTTTGGTCAAATATGGCCTGACCTGAAAAAGAATTAACAAAAAAGAAAGAAAATGGGAAATATTCCGGCTGGGTTGGGCAAAGTAAGACTACTCCTGACCAATGCTAGAGCCCAAATGGCTTGAGCAGTTTTATCAACTAAATTTAAGTGTTCTATAATTAGAGATGGAAAAGGAGCCTTTTACATGCATGCATTAGGCAGGCGGGCGCATGATGATAATTTACCTTATAAAAATTAAAGTTAGTAATTTGAGTATATCGAACTTGCATGCATGTATGTGCGTGCGCATCCATGCATGATGATTTACCTTACAAAAAATTAGACTCGGTAGTTCAAATAAATTGAGCTTATTTAAATCA